CCAGGCCCACCTCATGCCCAGGCCTGGCCCATCAGTTTTAATTACCCCGATTAGAATAAGGCAGTGATTAGATTTTCCCGAGAAGCTTCATTAGGATGAGGGAAAATCAAATCTACCGAGGAAAGGAGGAAACGGCTGAATGAGAAATAGGACGGGTAATTGAATCCCAGGGTCAGCACCGCCGCGCTGTGACTCGGCTCTGACACCGGGCCCAGGAGCCGGCCCACAGCTCTGCTTCCGTGCACACGCAGCTGGCCCACACGCGTGCATGGCACTCCCGGCCATCTGGGCCTCTCACACACAGGGGTCTGCTGCTTCCACGGCCAGACCCGGTCCTGGGGGAGCCGCTCTGGGATGCACGACGTTACTGGGGGTCCACGCTGCGCCAGAGTCAACACCCCATGCCGGCTTCCACCTCGGAGCCAGGAGGCCCAGAGCTCACTCTTCTCCCCCGGGAGACAAGCCAGGCGTCAGGGGTTGGAGAACAACCCACCGAGAAAATGCCACAAACACCACATGCTCCCACTCGTGTGGGACGCGAGAAGTGGCTGGTGGCTGCACGGGGGCAGGGAGGCGACAGTGACTGGCAGAGCCTGGCCAGGGGGAGCAGGGACGGCAACCGGGTGCTGGGTGCAGGCGGCCGGGAGCGAGAGCTTCCAGGTCCCACGGCACTGTGGGGTCACTGTGCCTGACAACTCTGTCTATTTCCAGACAGCTGCGAGAGAGGACTGACAAGCGTCTGAGTCGCTGGATGTGATCTTTCTGGTCTGAGGTCACGCACTGCTCACAGGTACGGAAGTGCACATGGCACCCATCATTGAAAGAAAGAAACACAAAAAAAAGAGGAGGTGTCCGTGGGCACCTGACGCCTGCACCCTGGACTCTAAACTGCCCGTTACTCTGCCGTCCCATGGAAGCTTCTAGACAGACACGGCGCAGAGAGGAAATGGAGCTGGTGCTCCCACCAGGACCCCGGCACCTGCTGCCCAAGGCTCTGGGCTCCGGCACCTGCTGCCCTAGGCTCTGGGCTCCGGCACCTGCTCCCCAAGGCTCTGGGACCCCGGCACCTGCTGCCCAAGGCTCCCGGGACCCCGGCACCTGCTGCCCAAGGCTCTGGGACCCCGGCACCTGCTGCCCAAGGCTCTGGGACCCCGGCACCTGCTCCTCAAGGCTCTGGGACCCCGGCATCTGCTGCCCTAGGCTCTTGGACCCCAGCACCTGCTGCCCTAGGCTCTGGGCTCCGGCACCTGCTCCCCAAGGCTCTGGGACCCCGGCACCTGCTGCCCTAGGCTCTGGGACCCCGGCACCTGCTGCCCTAGGCTCCCGGGACCCCGGCACCTGCTCCCCTAGGCTCTGGGACCCCGGCACCTGCTGCCCTAGGCTCTGGGCTCCGGCACCTGCTGCCCTAGGCTCTGGGCTCCGGCACCTGCTGCCCAAGGCTCTGGGCTCCGGGCTTCTTGGCCTCAGTAAGACGGACACTGACACTGGAAAAGGACTCAAATGGCCGACTCATCAACGGGAAATTTACCTAAAAGCAGAGGACCCGTTTTCAAAAACCCTTCTATAAATGATATAAAAAACGATAGCGCTGGACCCCAGGGAAATTGTAGTGAAATCTCTCCACCACAGGTGACCAGGGCGCTCAGTGCCTCCTTCGTCCCAACAAGCGACTTGGAAGGTGTCACGGCTTGAACTGTGACCCTCCCCCAGCGCGTGTGCTCAAGTCTGAAACCCCAGCCTTAGAGAATGACCTCATTTGGAAACAAGAGTTTTAGGAGATTAATTTATTTGACAGACAGAGGGTGGGGAGAGACAGAGAGGAAGCTAGAGGAGAAAGGAGAGAAGGAGGGAAATCGTCCATCTACTGGCTCCCTCCCTAAATGGCCACAGAGGCCAGGGCTGGGCCAGGCCAAAGCCAGGAGCCAGGAGCTCCATCTGGGTCTCACACTCGGGTGGCAGGGCCCAGGGGCTTGGGCCACCTTCTGCCGTCCCCAGGCCCATCATCAGGGAGCTGGATCGGGAGCTGAGATGGGGCTCAGTCCTCGGCACTCTAAGATGTGGGTGTCCTGAGCGGCAGCGTAACCACAACGCCCATCCCGAAATCCTGTTGATTTCATGGATAAACCGTTCTCCTTCCATCTGTAATGGGGTAGCCATGTGTACGGATGAGGCAGGGGAGAGGTTTACTCCGGCTCAAGGTTCTGGAAGCTCACGGTCCAGGACCAGCTGAACCTTGTTCAGCCTCTGGCGATGGCTTCTCGCAGGTGGCGTCTGCTGGTGACCAGGGCGTTGCGTCAGAGGGGGACAGGGAGTGCATGGTGTGTCCACACCTCCTCGGTGCTCAGGGCATCACGTCAGGGGAGACTGGGAGTGCACTGTGTGTCTACACCTCCTTGGTGCCCAGGGCATCGCCTTGGGGGGGGACAGGGAACGCACAGTGTGTCTAAACCTCCTCAGTGCCCAGGGCATTGTGTCGGTGGGACAGGGAGTGCACGGTGTGTCTACACCTCCTCGGTGCCCAGGGCATCGCCTTGCGGGGGGAACAGGGAGTGCACAGTGTAGACAGGAGTCTACACCTCCTCAGTGACCAGAGCATCATGTCGGGGGAACAGGGAGTGCACTGTGTGTCTACACCTCCTCGGTGCCCAGGGCATTGTGTCGGGGGGACAGGGAGTGCATGGTGTGTCCACACCTCCTCGGTGCCCAGGGCATCGCGTGGGGGGAGACGGAGTGCGCCGTGTGTCCACACCTCCTCGTGCAGCCATCGCCATCCAAAGACTTACTCTGACCCCGACACCAGGTTCCATGACTGGACTAAGTCCCCACCTTCTTGGTGCCGTTGACACCCGAGGACTGAAGTTCCCGGGGGCAGGGGAGGAATCCTCTAATCACGGCAGTGTTTCTCCACCCTGCTGAGTTGGATTTGTTCATACTTTACGTAAGATTCTTGAAATGGTGTTTGTAAAGTTGATACGTAATGTTCATTTCTTATAATATTCTTAGTCAATTTTTAAAAAATCCCGATTATACTAATTTTGTACACTAAGTTACATGGTTTTTCCTTTTTTTTAAATACCTGGCACACTTGGTGTGCAGCAAGGATATTTTTGAATATTGCGTAAAACTCACTGGCAAACATAGTTCAGAAATTCTAGATTTCTGTTCTGTTGGGTCACGATTCAGCTATCATCTTTCTCTTTTCAGCTTGATTATATTTCCCAGGAAATGTCTGATTCAAGCTTTCAGATATACCGGAATAAACTGTACGGTATTACTTCACTATTTTTAATTTTATGGTGTCTGAATCCGTCTTTTCGGGTTCTTATCTGCTGCTTCTGTTCATCAGCTCCCTGGAGAGCTGCCTGCTCCGTCGCTCTTTCATAAAACCGTCTTGACTTTGTCGAGCGTCTCCACTATTTCGTGCTTCACTACTTTCTGTGCTCTCTCTTTATCCTCAGAGTCCTACGTTCCTGGTGCTTATTCTATCTTCCTCCAGGTTCCCGAGTTGGACATTAAAATTATTCACTTGAGAGCTCTCCTGGTTTTTAACAAGCGCATGTAGATCCGACATGCCCAGGGAACCTGATCTGCGTTCGGTCCAGGTCATGTCTTCAGACCGGGAGTTATCTCGGTTCCTTTCAGTCTCCACTCACGGGTTGTTGTCAGCGACTTTTTCATTTTTGCTGCACCACCTTGGCTGCCCCGTGGTCGAGAACGAGTCCTGGCGGATGCCACACTGTCCGCCTGCTTCCTCACACTCGCTCTGACCACACGCGTTCTCACCAGGCCTGTTGAAGTTACCAAGAATCTTCAGAGTCCAAAAACACGAGCACGCTCTCCAAATCCAGTGGTCTCCTTCGCAAGTCCTATCAGCACGCAGCGAGCTTCAGATGGACTCAAAACCAGCAGCCCCGCTGACTTCGAAGTTCCGTTTGAATAGCCGTTGCCTATTGCGTTAGTAAGTCAGGCAAAACGAGAATCGTTAATGCAGCGAGACTCGACTCTGAACTTTGCAAAATGCGGGCTTCAGTTTGAAACGCTTGTGTAGGCAGCAGTGCGCACGGTGACCAGCAGAGACGGACGTCACGCACAGAGCAGAGACTCCGTGGAACCGGGCGGCCGCCACTCCTCCCAGGCAGACTCGGTAAAGCCCGCAGCAAACCAGTGAGACGGAGGGCTCAGGGCCACCGCGAGGGGACCGTGGGGAAAACACCGGAGTTGAGCCCTGGCCCCCGGGTGAACTCTGAATGGCGGCTGTGAGTAACAGTCTGATGACAGATTCCCCTGACCTCCATCCCGCTTTCCCACGACTTGTGTGCACGAGGACAAAGAGCCCGTTTCTTGACCTCAGCTGTTGTCACCTGTAAGCGGCGGGTCTGCAAGGACTGGCCGCTGTGTGGGTCAACAGGGCAGGAAGCCCCCAGCGTGGGGCTGGGCTGCTCTCAGGCCCTGGAGCCCACCGGAGAGAGAGCAAATGTGGAGACCGCACACAGACACAAATGCCAGTGCACCTGCTACAAGAAGGAACAAGCCCATCAGAGCGGACGAGCTCTCGGGGCAGCGCGGGGCCGTGGCCGAGTGGGAGGTGCCTGCCGGCGCCAGCGCGTGGAGGCGTGAGACGCGGGTGGAAGGGAGCTCACGGCTCAGTGGGTGAGGGCGGGGCCAGGGCCAGGGAGCGCGGGGTTCACAGCCAGCGTCCCCTCGGCACTGTCGTGTGTGCCGGGACCACGGGCTGCTTCTCTGTGTCCCCCTGACAAAGCACAGCTACGCCAGCTGAGCTGCAGGGATCGCGGTGCCTGGCTGACGCGGACGGCGACCGTATGCGGGCGTTCAACACGCTCGCGGGAGATGGGGTAACACGCTCATTGTGGTGCCGAAAGTCCTGAAACCCACGCGAGGCTTTACAACCTGCGTTTGAGCCTTTTGAAGATCTTCTGATGCAAAGACTTCAAACTTTCTTCCACCAAAACAAACTTTTAATTCTGTTTTCATGGCTTTTTTACAAAGTACTTTTGGATGTTCAGACACACACACACACACACATACACATACACACATACATACAATACACACACATACACACACACAGAGTTTGTATCAATATGAAAAATTTAACATGAAAACAGTGCACTAGAGAAAGTACTTAACAAGTTTATATTAAAATTACCTTAAAATCAAATGAAAGGATAATTAGAACAATTGAAAAACAGAACAAGGTACAAGAACAGGCATATATATATATATATATAGAGAGAGAGAGAGAGAGAGAGAGGTCGGCAACACATAAAAATGTCGAGCTCCACCAATCACGGCAGAAGGGAGACCTGCCCAGGAGTGGAAGGTGCGTGTGGGGGGGGGGGGCGACCTGGTGGTTAACCCTCGAGTCCTCACTGTCCCAATGATCAGCCCAGATTTTTCATCTCATTTCCCCATGATCAACTTAGGAATGTGTGTCAAAGGAACCTGTCTTGGCGTCTTCCTGACAAAACGCCCATACACCTGTTAGTAATGAAAAAGCCAAGGGAGACAGCCTCCTTTGTCCATGGATGTTTTGCGTACGGATGACTGCTGGGCTGGTAGCAGCCACCTTGTGACCAAGAGGCAGAGCCAGCCCGCAGCAGAGAACAGATGGCATCCTCCGTGAGAGGCAGCACACCCGTCGTTTCCGTGTGGGTCAGGCTCTGTGCGCCACTGTCAAGGCCGTGGACAGCTGTGGGACAGGGCTGCAGGTGTGAGACCACAGGTCCCTCAGCAAGGCCAAGGGAGGACCGGAGAGAAGCTTCTCACCCAGCTCCCAGCCTGGACGGCACCAGGGCATCAGCACGCGGCGTGCACCTGGGGAGGAGGAAGGGCACGGGAAGGCACTCAGTGCCCCTCTGGAGGCCATGGGCTGCGAGGAGGCCAGCAGCCAGGCGCCTGCCCAGAGCCCGGCAATGAGGAGGCAGCGGGGCCGGCAGCTGCCGCCCTGGCTTCAGCAACAGCGGGTTCTCCCTGACGTTCCACCCTGGGGCCACGGAGCTCACGTGGGGCCAGCGAGCAGGTGAGGCCACACAAGCCACGCTCGGAGCCAGGGCTGGACGGGCTTCCAGGGGGAGCGAGGCCGCAGGGCCGCGGGGCAGGCGAGGGGAGGCGAGGGAGAGGAGACTTCGCTGACCACCGTGGAGGGCTGGGCGGGCTTCTGCTTGGTGCCACCTGCAGAGCGGGTGTGGCTCCCCCTGCAGAGGGACAGCGGCTGCCCCTCGGCTGGGACGAGAGTACCTGAAGGCCCACAGTCCTAGGAGACCTAGGAGACACGTTCTGCTACGAGTGACAAAGCGACACCCGTGAAGACGCACCGGCTGCCAGCGTGGGCACAGGGACGAGGCCCACTGAAACACGACGGACTCCGAGATGCGGGGGACTGAGCACGCGTCCCAGGCCTGCCGGAGTCAGTGTCAGCACTGGCCGTGGCCCCGTGTCGTCTCTGACGCTGCCCACAGTGGAGCAGCCACGGCTCACAGCTGGAGACCACAGCGTGCCCCTCGGCTCGCCTTATGGACCAGACCCACCCTGAATGCAAGGCAAGACTTGATTTGGAGAGAGTTTTGTCCCTGGATCGAGACCGATGAGCTAATCAGGTAAGAATGATGCTGAGTTAGCAGGTTGCTCTGTTACTAACCAACGAGGACCCCGTCCTGTAACTGAATGAGTAACTTATGAGGTCTGAAGAATGCCAAACACACAGCCTGTCCTCTGCCCAGCACTGCGAAGGCCGGTGTTTGCCTTTTGGGCTACAGCAGCCAGCAGGGAGCCACGAGGAGGAGGAAGTGGACGCTGCCGCTGGCCGAGGTTCCGCCCGGAAGTCCCCAGGGCGCACGTCCCACCAGCAGCAGCCTGGCGCAGGTGTCCAGCCGTGAGGGCAGCGATGCAGCGATGCAGGTGCCGGCTGACTCACTTCCTCTGTCTGGACGAGGAGGCGCGCACACGCAGATGCGCTGTTTGCGGGAAGTTGTCAGCAGCTCGGCTGCACTGCTGTCGGCACAGGGTGGGGGTGGGGGGGCTCAGGCAGAGTCCAGTGCCCTTGGCTCAGCCCCGTTCTCCCATCCCTCGTCCCCCACCCTGCCTGCAGGGGCTCCCTGGAGAGGCTGGTCCCTGACGCGACACAGCAGGGGCTTCATAGAAAAGGGTTTTATGGAAAAGCGGAGTTGAAAAGTTCAGCTTCTGGTGCCTGTTTCGAAATCCACGCAGTCTTTTCATAATTTGCGTTTTCCATTTTGTACTTTTAAAGAGCCCTCTGCATGTGTGGCGTTCAAGAATGTTTCGCAGGAAAGAAACTTATCTTCTAACTCCATTGTCCAGGAACTTGACGGTGCCCCCTGTGGCACAGAGGCTGGGATTTCGGAGCCCGACCCCAGGGGTCCTCCCGCTGGGTGGTGGTGCAGCAGGAAGTGGGAGCAGGCGGGGCGGGGCCCGGGGAGAAGGCCGGGGTCTGGGCAGGCAGAAGTCCAAGCAATTCAGGATGGGCGGCCGTCGTCCGTGGAACGAGGATTGGAGAACTGGGCTGGAGAAGGGAGGCGGCGAGACGGCTCTTGTGACGGGGTCGTTCTCTCGTCTGCAGAGAAAGCATCAATTTTTACACCAATGCAGTTCCCTTTATTTGTGCTCCGCGTACCACAAAACCTTCAATTCACTTCTGACTCCTGCCTAACTGCAGGTTCGCGTGCGCTCGTGAGAACGGACAGAGCGCCCCGTGCCCTCCTCCTCGATGGAGACAGCCTGGTGATGCCGTTCTGCTTATTAATATTTTCTCAATATCAATAAGCCTTGTGGGCTCTTGTCACATATTCAGAGAAGAATTCTGAATACTGGCTCAAATGGACGAGACAACACGCTAAAATCTATTCAGTGAGAGAAATGCACAGGAGAGTGAGGGCTTTATCTAAGGGAGAAGGAGAAGTCTAGAGGCTAAGTCGGGGCCCAACCAAGCTGAGAGCAGGCCAGGAGCCACGTGCAGCAAGCTGCAGGCAGGAAAGCAGGGAGCGGGCGCCCCAAAGCCTCGGGCAGCGAAGGGTGGGGGGCACCGTGCTCCAGGCCTTTTATCCACTTCCAGAGGGGCGTGGTCACGCAGCCTGACTGGCAGGTGGGCATTCGGGAGGGTCAGGTAGGGGCGTGAGGTCACACAGGGGCGTGGCGAAGGCGTGGTCTCCCAGCTCACAGACCTAATCCATTGTATCCTATCTGCCTGCCTACACCACTGGGAAACACGGGCGACGTCTCCACCAGGGACCAACACCCATGCAGTCAAGGCACGGAGCGTGCTGCCATGAAGATCCTCCCGCGGCCCTCCACCCGCTCCTGGGAACCACACGGCTGCTCCCACCGCCCTGAGCACACTGTGTAATGGGTCGCATGGGGCCTCAGCTCTGGGGGTGGCTCTCTAGACACAGCGTAATTCCCAGGGAACCCCGGGCTGTTGCCCCAAGCAGCAGCCGGCTGCTCCTGTCTGTCACTAAGCAGTGTCCCATAGCGGGAAGCGACCTCCACGTGTTTAAACTCTAGAACGTTCCAGAGTAGCTAACAATGGACACTCGCACTCAGGGCTGTGTGTGAACCGGAGTCGAAGCTCCCCTGGACAAACTGCCCCGGGTGTGACTTCCGGGCCACGTTTGCTTTATAGGAAATGCCCGGAGTGCTTTCTGGAGTGGCCGCAGCGCCTGACATTCCAGCGGCGAGGCGGCTGACGCAGCTCTGCACGCTCTCCGGGCCGCGTTCTTGGCTCGTCCAGTCGTCCCAGGGCAGGCGGCGACACCTCACTGCGGTCCTGGTTTGCAGCTCCCTCGCGGCCAGCGCTATCCGCGCATTTTCGTGTTTATTTGCCATCAGTACAGCCTCTTGGGTGAACCGGGGGTCCAGCCTGAGTGGATGATCTGTGCTCTGTGGCGGAGTCCTGAAGTCCCCTGTGGAATGCGAGGCTTGCAAACCCTTCCTGCAGGCCTCAGTCGGTGGGTGACGCTTGTTTTCCTCCATCGGTTTCTCCCCCCCCTCCCACGTTTTGTGGTTTTGTGCTTTGCACGTAATCCCACGATCCGTTGTGAGTTATTTTCGTAACGAGTATGACCTGTGGGTCACGGGGCTTCTCACTTCTCCGTTCTTGCTCCTGGACATCCAATCACACCAGCAATATCTGTCAGGATTGGACGGGGCACATCTGTGTGACCGTATCTCCGGGATCCTGGCCAGGGCCTGGGTGTCTTGCTCTCCACCCAGCCTGCGTGGCGTTGAGTGCTGGGGCCATCTTCTGTGCACGGCTTCCGGTCCCGCCCAGCCCTCTCCGCCTCAGCACCGAGACCTGCGGGGGTTGCGAGTTGTGTCATCCCAGTTCTGGGAGGGAAGGCTCACTCCCCGCCAGGCGAGGGGTGTTGATCGGTCTCTCAGGGGTCAGCGCACATTCCTGAACTTTTACGATCGAATTTCCCTGCTTCTGCCTGGCAACAGGACGAGGCGCGCACACAGGCAATGGCTCAGGAGAGCGGAGACTGCAAGGAGGGGGCCCTGCAGGCACCGTCTCGGGAAAATCTCAACCCAGGCCTCTTGCAGAGAAAGCTTCCCCAAGTCTCTGCTTTGTCAAGGCCAAGGGCTACTCTGCCGAAATAGTTAACTGTTCCACTGTGTACAGGACCTGTCCCAGTGAGAGAAGCCACGGAGGGGGTCGGCTGGAATGGAGCTCTGCCCACAGCCGGAGAGGTCACACGACGTGGTTCCACTTCACTCCGAAGCCGAGGAGCGTCAGACAGGAGAAACCCCACACGGCCGCAAAGAGCAGCGGCAACCCGGGGTGTGCAGGGACCCCCGCCTGTCTCTTCTACTCAGGGAACGTCTGGGAGGGCACAGGAGAGGGAACGTGGCCTTGGAGCAGGCCAGTCCTCGCACCTGCCCGACTTTTAGTCCTGCGTGAGACTAATGAATTGCCAAGGCTTCCAGCTGTGTGTTGGGGCATACACCCGGGGCAATGCCGGGGGACCGCCGCTTCAGTCTACCCTGGGTGGACACGCCCTTCAGTCTGGCAGGACGGCGGTTCCACCTTCATGAGAAGTGTTGTGCTGGTGACGTGGATGGGGTGTGTCTCACGGGATTCCTACCCGGCCTCACCCCCTGTGAGGAGCGGCTTAGCTGAGGAGGTGGTGATGGGGAGTCCCTGCTTCTGCGACTTAGGAAGGCACCCGGGGACTCACTCACGGCCACGCGGTGATTGGGGGAACAGCCGATTGTATTCCCATTGAAACCTGTCCCTGAACATGGCACAGACTAATGCATCTTTGGCTATTGCCTGGTCTCCTATTTGTGTCGGATCGGGGGCACTGCGTGTCTCCAGTTCTCACCGTCTTCACATCCCCACGGCTGTGTGGACGGCACTGTGTCCCCTCCCCAGAGGAGATGTTGAAGCGCCAATGCCTCTGCCAGCGAACAGGGCCTTGTTCTGCAGACGACACATGCGGATGAGCCAATCCGCCCTCACCGTGTCCGCACCGAAACGGACGGCCTGGAGACACAGACACTCGCACAGGGGGCTGGAGGTGCCTGCCTGGGGGCCTTGGCAGGGGTGTGGCCCCGCCAGCACCTGGCCCTGGACTTCACGCTTCGCGTTCCTGTGTGTGGCACTTGGTGACAGCAGCCTGAGCAAACGGACGCGGTGTTTGCCCTGTTGTCTTGGAAATGACCGAGGTCTGTGAATCTCCAGGCTGACAGGGGCTTCTGGAGAAGGAAGCCGCTACGGCGCGCTGGAACCCTTGCGAATTCAGCTTTCTGGGCCCCCACCAAGAGCTAATGGGGTCACGTAAATGAATTACATCTTCAGAGTGACCCAGAAGCCCTGGTTTTTCTCTTTCTGCTCCGGCACATTCTATCCAAACAACAGGGACTGACAGCAGCACAGCGTGACTGGAGCTCTGTGCGCCAGGAGTGGAGGAGTGAGCAGCCGCACGTGTCTTCCCTCGTGCACGCATCACGGGCAGGCCCCGTGCAACCCACGCACGCCGTGGAGGTCCCTTGGAAGGCTGGCCTGCTCAGCGTTTCTGTCTGGGGTCTGAGTTATGGCCGCTTCTGATAGATTCAGGGTCTGTAAATCAGATCCAAACAACCCCTTTCGATTTAGGTACCCTCTCTTGTGGAGTCCATCAAGGGAAGGATCCCAAGACATACTTGGAAATGTGGCAAGTCTTGGAAAAAACAGGGCCATTAAAACTAATTATAGCTCACAGCCGTGACCCCGTTGTTTTGTTATCTTTTTACTTGAGCTTTGCAAAGCTCCCTTTAAAAAGCTTTTCATCTGGAAATCATTTCAAACTTACAAAAAATTACAAACATCACACGAGCGCACTCACGCAGCCCGAGCCAAGTCATCGGCTGCATTTTCTCCATTTGCTGCCTTGTTTGCCTCTTGCTGGCCACAGCTCCACCGTCCAGAGAACACTGGCCGTCCGTAGTCAGCTTACTGAGTGCTGTGCTCTGTGGCTGGCGGTCGGCCGGCCGGGCCGCAGCGATCCTCCTGGGTCGGGTCCAGGAGGCCCGTGTTCTCTCGCATGCTGAATGACGTCTGGGAACCGCGGGTGCTCTCTTCCTGCGCCCACCCCACGTCCACTCTGTGTTGTGTCACTAACGGTCCCCGTTGGCTTCACGTGAAGAAAACACACGGCGGCACGGATCCAAACAGACACGGAAGTTGTCCAGACTTCTGTGCGTGTCTGAGGCCCGAATTTTCCCAGTCTTCATGGTGGAGAGGGTTCACGTTGTAGTCAGCGGTGCTCATCGTCGGGTTCCCGGGCCCTACAGCCGTGCCTGGCCCTGCTGGATGATGACTCTTAACACCCGGCTTTCGCTGCCTGTGTCACCCCATCGGGAGCACACACAACACAGACGCCACCTCGCCCCTGCCCTCAGCAGCCCCGTGGGGGACGTGGCGGGAGTGTGTCCCCCTGAGGTCCTGTGTTGCAAGCTTGGTCCCCCATGTGGTGGACCCTGAAGGGGCAGGGCCCGGGGTGTTCAGCCCCGAGGTGTCCACCTCTGCGCAGGGCCGCTGCAGGCCTGGAGGGGCCGTCTAGTGCGTTAGTGCTCTCGGCAACCGGGGGCTATGAAGCAGCTCCGGCTGTCTCAGCTCGCTCCTGCGTCCGGTCTTTCTGCACGCTCCTGACACTGCGATGGCATCGGCCACGGGGCCCTTGTACCACGCTCTTACACCCCCGCCACTGCAGGCTCCTAAACGCTTTCTGTGGATAAAGAGCTCGGCCTCGGGTATTTTGTTACAGCACAGGGACCGGGCTGAGGCAGAGAGGGCGCCCAGAGGAGGATATGACGCCTTCAACACTCTGAGTTTCCCGTCCACGGCCGCCCAGCCTGGGGGTGAGCGAGAGCCACGCTCCGCAGCCGCCTGCCGTCAGAGCCGGCGGGAACAGTGTGTCCTGCCTCCTGTGGGCTCAGGCTGGGCAGGTGCTTCCTTGAACGGACCCTCCCCCGGGGATGGCGCCACGTGTGTTCAGGTGTCCTGCACCACCCGCTAGAAAGCGCATGGAGTCCCTGATGGGCTGTGCGTCCGCGGAGCCCAGCGGCTGTTCCCCA